GGCATTTTCTTAATAGCTCCCAGTGTGACTTTCAGAAACCCACCATCACTGCCAAGTTTGATTAGTGGCTTGCTGAAGACTTTTCCTGACAAAAGAACTTCATTTATCAGTTCTTGCAGATCTTTACAGTGAACTACAAGTTTCTTGTCAATAACTCCATTGCCTTGTTCAGGTAGAATATCTGTTTGATTAAAAAATCCGGCAAGTAATGTAATAAGTAATTTAATGCGGTGGTGGTGTAGTGGTAGAGCGCTCGCTTCATAAACGAGTGGTTTGGAGTTCGATCCTCACCACGTCCCTGGTAGTACCGCGCTCAACTCGTTTCTCCGCGCAGCGGCCTTGTTCATCAAGGTTCGTGTTTCGGAGTTATAGAGTTGAGAGAGGGTTATAGCCACAAATAAGTAACCTCCTCGTCTGTAGTGGCCTTCTCGGCCTTGAGGAGGTGAATTAAAATTAAAAAAAAAAAAAAAGTGAGTTTCCTAATGCAGAAAATTTAGAGCGAATGTTTGGCTCAGTAATTCGGACTGCTGAAACTTGGTTCAAAGTTGTCGCTAACTTTTTCACGTTTGTGTTTGACAATCCAGTATTGATTTGCACTTGAACGAGATCCCCTGCAGTAACTAAGGATGTTGATCCAAAGAGTCTTCTTGCACTTGAAGGACCTATAAGTAAATATTTTGGCAATTATATTTAAATTTTACAAGTTGTCACAATTAAAGTTATTGACTTTTCTCAAGAATTAACCGCATTTTTGGCATTGAGAACTAATAAAATTGAAAACACATTTAGTTATACTACAATAAAGTCATTTTTACCTGGGGTGACAGGTAAAGGTCTTCCACCTTTTGCTTGAGCCAGACGAATTGTTCCTTGAGAGGAAGCATCTGTGCCAGCTATTGCAGAGGCTGCAATTTGTTGAGCAACTGTGCTGTCATTTGATGCCAAAAGTCTCATATTTTCACAAAACTTAGCTTCAGTGCATACATGAGAAATTCGTTTCCCCAGAACCGAGGCATTTGGAACATCTGTGGTTAGAGGTTGAATTTTTATTCACAGCTTTCTCTTCACATGTTGTCATATTTCTGACTTTTTCAAGAGGATGGGATTCATTTAGCTTCAGATGCCCAACTTGACATATAATGCAATCACAGATCAGTCCGCTTGCAGGTCGCCTGACATTGATGGTTTCAAAGTCATAGAGTCTTGGCATGACAACCTCTTTTCCATCAAGTTTTCTGCGCAGTGTTGAACAACATCCTTCACAAATTCCAATTAACGTTCGTTCATCTTCAAAGTTGATCTTTTGTTCAAACAAATTTAAAATTTCCTGTGCCATTGATGGTAAAATTGTCCTTGTGCTTTTTTTCAAGCACAAGAAACACACAGTTTTCCGGCAATCTTTCTGAGTTTTAGTTTGATTGGGCATTTTGAAAGACCAAATGATTCCAAAATCGTAAAAATGAGTGGCTCTTTGTTTTGATGTATTGAGAATAGCCCTTTCCCGTAATTTTAACACCAGTAATAATAAAAAATCATTTTATGTAAGAAATACATGTATGCTCTTTTTTCAAAGTCATAAAAACAAAAAAACAATGTTTTATTCATGTAATAATAAAATTATCACTCACTTAAATTTTTTACTGTAAAACTGCAAAAAATAGTTATGCTGTCATTTGTCTAGTTGCTGCAATATAATAAAAATAAAAACTCATTTTATTTTCCGATACGAAATAGTTGGATTTCAAATATTATATTTTTGAAATCCAGACATCAAGGGCTTTCATATGCACCCAGCCATTTCTCTGGGTCAGCTATATACAGTTATCATGAATTCTGGCTGGGGGTGCATAAGTATTGAATCAACCAACTTGTTCAAAAATAGTGTTTACAAATTAAAATTTAATACAGATAAATGATCGGATACACGAGTGTCTTTTCTTTCAGCATGGAAGTGCTCGTTGTATCACTTTCTCATCAAAATTTATAAATGTAATATATGCATAATGTAATGTATGCATAATAAATGAAATATATGCATAACGTAATAAATCCATAATGTAATGTAATGTAATATATGCATAATAAAATGTAATATATGCATATATATTTTATTTCTGAAATACATAAACTCAAACTCAAACAGAGAAATAACTTAAATTTATTCATTTATAAAAATACAATTTTGATATTCATTTTCAATTTTTAAACTATGTATAAACTATGTATGACCCGTATTTTAAGGGTTTCAATTTTTTTTCCGTTTATTTAACGACTATTTTTGAATAAAGCATGTAACTTCAATGCGTTTTTTGTTATTAATTTCTTTCCTTACATGTTTGCTAAGTTTATTTATATATATTGTAAACCTATTAATAAACTTTTGTGCACAAATATTTTATGCTCTTAAGATTCTCGAGAAAGGAAAAAATTATTTATTTATCGAAAAATAAAAATGATCGGGAAATGTCAATCACTAAAGCTATCAAAAACTTTCAAATTTTATTTTGACAATTAAAAGTCTTTTTTGCTATATATATATATATATATATATATATATATATATATATATATATATATATATATATATATATTATATATATATATATATATATATATATATATATATATATATATATATATATATATATATATATATATATATATATATATATATATATATATATATATATATATATAAAAGTTGCGCATATTATTTACCTCTGCTCTAGAAGCAATTTTTTAGAATGAATTATTTTACTATAATGTATGAAAGTAAATAAGAAATAAGTATATTAATGATCGGTGTGAAATAGATAAGTATAGAAATAGTCGGTTTGATAAAGACCCGTATTTTACGGGTCTTTACCAAACCGACCACACATAACCGAAATAACCATGACTATATGGTTATTATATATGTGATTATATTATGTTTATAATTTAAATGATAGTTATATTATGTTATGTATGTTTATATATGTATATTTATATATGTTATGTATATTTATATAATATATATATATATATATATATATATATATATATATATATATATATATATATATATATATATATATGTATATATATATATATATATATATATATATATATATATATATATATATATATATATATATATATATGTATATATATATATATATATATATATATATATATATATATATATATATATATATATATATATATACATGACCATACATAACTTAACATATATAAATATACATAACATATATAAATATACATATATAAACATACATAACATAATATAACTACCATTTATATTATAAACATAATATAATCACATATGTAATAAACATAATGCAATAACATAATATAAACATACATAACATAATACAAATATAAACATACATAACATATATAAATATACATGACCATACATAACCATACATAACCGAAAATACATATTCTTTTAATTTAAGTTTATTTTAAAATCAGTCCTAGGCGTCATGAAAGCACTAGCATTCAGGTAAATCATACCACACTGAGATAATATTTGTATTATTTTTAATTTTTACATAAATGTTTCATTGATATCTCATTTCTGCAATAAATTAAGTTATATTTTTAAGGGAGTGCTAACTTTTTTCCAAGTTTATTATTTTGAGGAGGTATAAATTGAGAAGAGGTATAAGAAAAATTGAATGCTGAGTTATTTCTATGCATAACCTAAGTAAAAACCCATGGTGTTCCAACATGTGTAGGCTTAACAGGTGAGTTACAGTCAGAACAACACAAGAACTCCTTAAATAAATTATTCATAATGCCAAAATGCATGAATATAAAAAATTGAATTCCTTAGATGTATTTTTGTTTTCATTTGAAGTTTTTTTTCATTTGAAATATAATTTCTTTGAGTAACTTTTTAGCACTTGTGCTAAACGCGTCTGATTTAGAACTTTCTAAAGAAACGTTTTTTTGCTCTGAATTTTTATGTTGGTTTTTATGAAAATACTTCCTTTATAATCTCTTGTTATTTTTTTTTATTTTCTATCTAAGAATATAAAATTTTAAATATAAAAATTTAATTCAATAATTCAATAAAATAATCACAACAACACTGATAAAATTCTCTACTTCTTCTCGATCTATTTCATTTTAAACACCGGCAATGGAGTTTACTTATTTGCAAAGTTGATATAAAGCAAGGAGATATAAATAAAAAATTATAAAAAGTGTTACATGCAATTTATAAAAAATTAGCTCAAAAGTAAGCATTGTTTCTTGTTGCTATGCAGTTGCTAAGGGCTTCCTTTTGAGATTATAACCTTTTGTAATTATAAATTAACATTTTATATAACTAAATTTCTCATAAATATAGTAAGAGTATACATTTTTGAAATCTACAATAATTCTATTTTTTAAATAAACAAAAAAAAAAAATCGAAAAGTTTAACATTTTATGGGCTAGTAATTTTTACATAAATGTTTCATTGATATCTCATTTGTGCAATAAATTAAGTTACATTTTTAAGGGAGTGCATCGTCATTAAAACGAGTTCAAACTCGTCAACACCGCCATTAAGCTCGCTATAGATTTTTTTATGTTCCTCAATGTTTTGAGAAGGATTATATAAAATATTCAAGCTAAAGAAAAGTAAAACAATTGTATGCACAAAAGCTAATTGTTTAAGTAAAGTTAAAGATAAAAGGAACGTTTACGTAAAATCTTTCCATATTTCATTGAATTTAATTTAAGATATTTAATTTACTTAAAATACTTAATCAAAACTTAGATTTAAAATTTGAATATAAACAATTGAATTAAAATAAAAAATTCCATTAAATTTGAATTTAAAATAAACAAAATATTTTAAATTTTGAAAACCTTAAAACTCCCTCCACCCCCTCCTTACCCCACAATAAAATATAAAATTGTAATAATTTGAAGGTTTATGAAACCTTCAATTTGAATGTTTATTCAATTTAAAAATTGGTATTAATAATTAAAAAAAACTATATATTTTTAACTAATTTTGTTAAAGAACAAAAAAAATAGACTCAAATTGCACAATCAAGCTAGCAAAATTTGTAAAATGACTCATTTTTAAAAATTAGCATGCATAGTTAGTAAAAGTGATAGTCTAATCCAGAAAGTTCTTTCTTTTATAATTACTTTCAACACTGCTCAAAACGAAAATATGATGTTGTGACAACCACAGCAGAATTTTGTTTTTCATTTCGAATGTTTTTTTTGTTTAAACTTGAAGGAATACAAAGCGCACAGAAAAAAAGAAAAAACGATATAAAAGACATAAGCACAAATGCAAAATATTGGTTTATAGGAAACACTGCTGTAGTATTGTTTTCTTGCGCCTTTTTAATGTTTTTCATTGACCATGTAAAAGCATTTCCAAATGCAACAGCACCAATCGAGCTAAAAACACAAAAACAAAAAATTTAATAACCAAAGTGCTAATTTAATTCCCAATTTTTTTTTCAGATATTTTATTAAGTACGTAGGTGTTCCTTAGGTTTGACAATTTTATTTCGCAGCATATTTTTATAAAAGAAAAAAATTGTTTTGCTTTGTACCTTTTTTTTTACAATACAAAAGTTTTTTATTTTGAAAATTTTGTATTATAAAATGTGTGTTTTTATCGTATTGTATTTTTATAAAATGAAGTTATTTCATTTCGTTTTTGCAAAACAAGCAAAAACTTGTTTTGATATGTATCGATTTTTACGAGAAAAAAAAGTTATTTACTAGTATTCTTACGGTAATATGCAAAACAAAGCAATAACACAGGTCAACAACAAAAATTTTTCTGGTGCCAAGCAAACAATTTGTTTTTCATATAGCATTTCTCATTTTGATTTCAAATAAGCAACTTATTTTTCACTATCACGTAAGTTGTAAAGTTATTTGGGTTCAAATCTTTAACATAGTTAAAAAAAAAAAAAATTATATAAAAGTATTTCAACCTGGGTCTCAAAAGAAGTTTATTTTCAAAGAGATTAATATTCGTTGAGAATATTAATAAAAATAATTACTTTTAATAAAAATATTCGTTTGTAATAAAAATAATTACTTTTTGAATTATTGCTGAGAAATATTGTGTTAAAATGTTTTTAAGTCTTTAGCATTTTTTTCATAAATTTTTTCTCAATAAATTTTAAGGAAAAATAACTTATGTTGTCTAAAATCTCTATGAAAATACGCTACTTTTGCGACCCAAATTCACATACTTTTGAATAATATTTTTTTTGACAATGTTAGGGATTTTACCTTAAATACTAAAGATTTGAACCCAAATATCTCTACAACTTGACGTTATGTTGAAAATGAGTTGCATATTTGAAATCAAAATGAGAAATAGTATAAAAGAATAAATTGTTGGCTCGGTAATAAATTTCACCGGTCACCAAAAAAAAAATTGTTTTTTTTTTGTTGACCGGTGAAATTTATCGTAAAAATAGGTAAAAGATTGTTAAACAAAAAATCATAAATCTCGTTTATAATTTCCTGCAAGTTATTTATTTTTTTGTTTAATACTTTAATATCTCGTAAAAATGTTTTTTCTTTAACTAACTTTCTAAAAATAAATACAAAATACCGATTTTACACTTCTTTGAGGTATTCATTTTTGAAATTAATTAAATTAAAAGATTTATATTACATTGCTATAAAAAAGTAAAAATTTATGATCTACTTTGAGTGTTTCTCTACATGATTAAAACCAACATTTTTAAAATTCAACTGCTAAATTATCAATAATACTAATTAATTAAATTACCGCCAATATTTCAGTTATGTTTAACCTCAACTTTGTGGAACTATTACACAATTGCTGTGTTAGGTGTTTATATACGATAAATGCAAAAAGTGATTAATCCAACTGATAGATCAATTAGTGATATCTGATAATTAAGCATTCCTAAGACTAAGCTGAAATAGTAAGACCAAAATAACTTAAATAAATTCAAACAAATTGTATCAAACTAAATGATGCATACGATAAGTTCTCGTAGAACAATTTCATAATTGACTAAGCTTTTTCATGTAAAGCCAATACCAGGCGCGGACTGGGGCTTCAAATCCTACCAAAAAAAGGAAGAAGGAGGGGCGTTACAAGGTCGGGATAGGGGTAGAAAATAGGCTAGTGTTTATATAAAGGTCTTTTAAATTTGAACATGAATAGGTAAAATAATGTTACACTTTCAAAGTTCAAAGTTCATTCAGGCTTACAATATAATTCAGTATGTCATTTTACTTAAGTATGAAATAAACAAGATAATTATATAGACAATGATAGTAATAATAATCATAATAATAATAATAATAATAATAATAATAATAATAATAATAATAATAGCAATAATAATAATAGCAATAATAACAATAACAACAATTATATTAATAATAATGACACGATGAATTTATTATGATAAATGAATAATAAACCTTTTTTTAAATCATTTAAGATATACAAAAAAAATCAAAATGAACCCTGTGGTTTATCTGGTAATTATACTGTAACTGACTACAATCTCCTAATGTAATTTATAGAAGCAACATCTTTGATAACTCTACGGAATCCTTACACAAATAGCCAATTACATCCTCAACTGCAACTGAATCCAAAATGTCCTTCTCGGTCAACATCTACATAAATGTTTCAAGCTTGTCGTTACATAATGAGAAACGCAGTCAAGTTTTGACAATTTTTAATTTACTAAATGCCCATTCACAGCTCACTCGTGAGAATAAAAGTGTTAAAAGATATTTGTAAGCCAGAAACAGATTTGAAGAAGCAGTTGCATTCAACGAACATTTGTATAAAATACTTTAGCAACATTTTAAACATTTTTTACAAGACCCTACACAACGCTCAAAATTCTGAAAATCTCTATCATTCTCATTTTCAGTTGCTTTTGTTGAAGTATCCAACTCTGAGACTGAATTTGATTCTTCTGAATCATCGTCACTAGGACTCACTGTAAATTCATCTCGTAGTGTTTTTGAGAGGCTATCAAAGTTTATAGCAAAGCTATGCAATTCAGCTCTCAATCTTTCAGAATAAATATTATTTAGTTGAGAAATATTTGCAAGACTGTTTTCTGGAATACCATTTTCAACAATTTCTTTAAAACGTCTGGGATCTAAATACGCAGTGTCTCTAATGATATCCCCATATCTCTAATGATATACTGAGAAACGTTCATCTATGCTAGTGGTAATCTGATCAATTACTCTACGGAAAACATCTATGCTGAAACGATCAAGAGGATTTTCTGGTATGTCATCAAAGGCGAGTTTCCCTGCCATACGTTTCTTTCAATGAACTCGTCGTTCTACATGTAATTCTGTTTCAAATTCTGAATCAAGTTCACTAGCATCTAGGAGGGTATTGATTTCTTTAACAAATGCAATTGTCTTGGAATGGACATCTTCGAACGTTATTGAGAGGTATAAGAAAAGGATTTAGCAAGGATGAGTCCTATGTGTCTGGAAATTTTTAAAGATATATATTGTTAAAGTTGTTTTATTTTGTTTTTTTGCGTTTTCTCTGTTAACAGATTTTTAAACTTTGAACAAGAATATCTTACAGCTAACTGTTGTCGAGATATTGACATTGGCAACACAAATTTTACATAAAAATTAAAAATTATTTTTTAAAGTGCAGCCATTTTGATTCTGTAAAAGTTCTGATGGTGATTCTGGTCAATCCCTTATTCAACATGTTGTTAACCTTTTTGCAAAATTTTAGCCTCACACATTGACTATTTCATGAGAAATCTTGGTTTAAAAATGTAGTTAAAATGGCATATTTTTTGCTGACTCAGCATGTATAATTATACTTTTTATTATATTTACTCTAAATAATTTTATAGTACACACAGTTTTAAAAAAATATTGCATCAAAATTAAATAAATTGACTGTTTTAATTTGTATGGGCTAGTACCACAACGGAATTCTACAGTAACGTAATAAAAGTCATTTTTTACTTTTTAGTCAATTTTAAATTATTAACTTTAAAAGGTTTTATTTAGATATTCATTTTTTATTTTTTAGTCTTCTTTATATTTCTACGTTGATGCAAAAAAGCATTATGAACAAAATGTTGTAAAAATTAAATTTTAATTTAATTTTTACAACATTTTATTCTTAATGCTTTTTTAAATATTTGCGATCGTTCAAATTTAAAATCGCGTTTTTTTTTTGTTTTATATTTTAAAGTAAAATATATAATTGTTTTAAAATTTAATGTTTTTAAATATTTGCGATCGTTCAAATTTAAAATTGCGTTTTTTTTTTTTGTTAAGGTAAGTGGTTTTTAAACCACTTAGGGGCTGTTCAAATAATACGTGACAGTCTTGGGGGAGGGGGTGGAGGGAGTATAAGAAAGTGTCACTAAATGTCACATGGGGGAGGGGGGGTGGTTTGCCTCAGTGTGACGTGACAATAAACATTTTAAATTAAATTGTTTATTACTGCGTAATTAAATTAGTTTATATTGCAAACTCGGAGGTATTTATATATAATACTGATTACGAGGAAAATTATATGCAACGACTTCACGAATAGCGAGCGTTTTTTGTTTAACTGTCATTTAACAAAAATTTTTGTTTTTGTTAAAATGATTGGATTTGATTAATTTATATTTACTCCGTACAAAATTATTTTTATGGAAATTGTACGCATAAAAAGAAACTCTAATCCTACGAACATAGAACTAGATAGTGGGCAAGTATCTAAAAACGATTTATATTACTATCAAAAATCATATTTTATTTTTTTAACACTATTTATATTAATAGACTAAAAAGTTAAGTGTTATTTTCGCTTAAAATTAGGTCTTCAATTATAATACATAATCGATATTATTCTATTTTCAATGTTATTATCAGTATTACTTTTAATATTTTGTGTCACTCTATTGCAAATAAATTAATTACCAAATTATTTGCAATAGAGTGACACAAAATATTAAAAGTAATACTGATAATAACATTGAAATCATTAACAATCATTGATAACGAATTTTAGTATTAATAATGCTATTGTTAACATTAATTCACAATGTGCTTGTTTTTAATTAATGGTTGTCAGGAAAATAAATTTATTGTCGTTGTTGTTATAGAATAAAAATGTCTAGTAAAAAGGAACAACTTTACAAATCTATTAAGGATATTTAAAAGCATTTGCAAACAAACCAAAGCAAAAGTCTCAAGAAGAAACAAATAAAATTTGGTCTGAGATCAAAACAAAGAGCAAAACATTACTCGATATAAATGTAGAAGTTGAAAAAAAATTGAAAGAACTAAATTACAAATAGTGAAGACAGTGAAAAAGGCTTACAAGAAAACTCTAATTCGTTAAAAGTTTTAAAAAGACCTGCGCCAAAACAAGATCAGTTAAAGAATGAAATTTT